TGCTATATATAATCCCTTAAGGATTCATTCTCCTTTTGGTGAACTTACATCAGCTCTATGGCTATGAGTTCTATCTCTTGTTAACTGTAAATTTATTAGAAAATAATGTGGTGAGCTAAGAGTAAGAGGTGATTAAATGTCTTGGTAGTTTGTGATGCCATCGCCAGGCTATTGATTTTAAAGTAGCTGGAAACACCTTGCACCTCATCACATTTGAAGCATTATGTATTTTCATTATAGCTTAGTAAGTATGCAAATGTTTATTTGGGTCTCCTAGACCATCATATGTTTCTACATGAGGGATTTTAAAGCCCTCCTAATACAGCTTTGATGTAATTGATGAGCTGATGGGATCGTTATCTAGGTCCGGGGCTTGAAGTCACGACCTTGGATTTTTCAACTCGTCAATAGATTTATGTATTTCCTTAAGTTGTTTTTCCAACTCGACGTTCTTTTTTAATAGGTCCTCATTTGACTTCGACGAGCTAGGTTCCATATTAGGTTGTCTGCTTCCTTTAGGTTTTGTGGGTATGACGACGTTGCTTAAAGCTGCGGAGCGATGTGGAGGGGTTCTCGTTTATGGCTCACCTCGATTTAGTAGGGGGATCAATGGGTTGCTAGGAATAAAATGCAACAGCATCCTTCCTATGGCCATTTCCAAAATCCTTGTTCGGTCTTCTAGTTCAGAGGTTTGTGTAGCACGTATGGAAGGTTTTACTTAAGTTGCTTGCCTAGCTGGTCAAGCTTTTAGTGTGGTTTGTTGTTCCTATTCTTTAGGTTGTGTTGCATAACTTGTTAAGGTTCTTTCATCATTAGAGTTATTATCTTCCACTTCCACTACCCCACCCACAAATAAATTATCAGGTAAATGCTCAAACCCATATGGGTCAACTCTAAGAAAATGAGCATGATCGTCCTGTCAATTCACTTAAGGCGGCTGAAAACCTATAAAAGTTCACACCATTTTTGCTTAACCAATAGAATAACACAACTGTTTTATTCAGTTTTCCATAAACAACACCAAATGTCTGGTAGTTTCACAAACTCTTACTACTGAGACCACATACTGCTCCAACACCTGAAAAAACTTGAGGATATTTCCTCAGAGTAGACACTTTGATGCTTAAGTTAGCAATACTCTATCATATAGAGAGAAAATCTCTTAAGAAGAGTAATTGCAGAAAGATAAGTATAGTAGAATTATTACCTTATATGTAGGGATGTCAACGGGGCCCCGCGGGGCCGGGGACCTCGTCCCCGCGAATCACGGGGACGGGATCCCCACGGGGATTTTTGACGGGGGGCAGATTTTGCCCCCCGTCCGCATTTCCCACGGGGAACAGGGATCCCCGTGGGGATCCCCATTCCCCACCAATTAACATCAAATAGCTCCGGCAATAGTAGCAAAGCAGATGGCTTAGGCTGTTTGGTGGCGGCAGCAGCAGCAGGCTCCGGTGGCGGTAGCAGCAACAGCAGCAGCAGGAGGCCCCGGTGACGGTAGCAGCAGTAGGCTCTGGTGGCAATAGCAGCAGCAGGCTCTGGTGGCAGTAGCAGCAGCAGCAGCAGCAGGCTCCGGTGGCGGTAGCAGCAGCTGCAACAGCAGACAGGTCCAGCAACAGCAGATGGGTTCGACAGCAGCAGCAGATGGGTCCGGCAACAGCAGCAGATGGCTCCGGCAGCAGCAATAGATGGCTCCTGCAGCAGCAACAGCAGATGGCTTCTGCAGCAGCAGAGCAGATGGCTTTGGCTGTTCAGCGGCAGCAGCAGCAGGAGAAGATGGGTCCGGTGGTGGGAGCCGGCAGCAGCAGCGAATAGATGGCTTTGGCTGAACAGCAGCAGCCGAGCAGATGGCTTTGGCTAAACAGCAGCAGCAGATGGGTCTAGTGGTGGCAGTAGATGGGTCTGGTGGTGGCAGCAGCAGATGGTCCGGCAGCAATAGCAGATGGTCCGGTAGCAACAGCAGATGGCTCCGGTGGCAGCAGCAGCAACAGCAGGGAAACTGAAGGTGAGATGGACGTGAGAGTCTGAGAGATATGTGAAGCTGCAATTAAAGAGATTGAGTGATGAGAATTAAAATAAATTAGGGTTAGGGTTAAATGTAGGGGAATGGGTTGGGTTGAATAGTATTGGGTTAAATTTAATTGTAATTGGATTAAATTTGGGTTTGGGATTGAGTTTGAATTTGGGTTTGGGTTTGAGTTTGAATTTAGGTTTGGGTTTGAGTTTGAATTTAAGTTTGGGTTTGAGTTTAAAGAATAAATTAATTTTAAAATAAAAACTTTTTTTTTTTTCGTGGATGAGGATCCCCGTGGGACCCCACGGGACAGGAAAAATTCCCCGTGAAATTTCGCGGGGATAAAATGATCCCCGTCCCCACCCCGGGGGAGGAATATTCCTCCCCACCCCATCCCGTAACGGGAATCCCCGTGAGGCCCCGTAGGAAACGGGGAGAATTGCCATCCCTACTTTTTTTTTTTTTTTTTAACCAGGTAGATGGTTAGGAAGTTAGTAGAGTTAATTTGTTAGCAGCTGGAATTTTTTCAGGAAAGTGAACGTTCCACCCCCTCATTTGAGGCGCGCGACCATTAGGTCGCAAGTTGGTAGAGTTTACGACGGTGGTAGAGCTCGAAACCCTGACCTCCACCTCACCCAAGCCCTAGAGTTTGAGGGCCGACCAATTGGGCCACATGCCCGATTGGCGCCATCCCTACGATAAATGAGAGTATTTATAGCCTTCATTAATGACATCCAAGCCACGTGGTCTTCCCTTATTAGTCCATCTGTCTTAGGCCA